TGCTTCAACACTGGTGATCTTTGCTTCTTCCAGTACACTGGCATTAGTTCGCCTGTCTTCCTAAGTGATGTGTAAAATTTTTTGGAGACACCGTTGATGGAATCTTTTGAGGAGTTGGAGATGGCGTTTATATTTGTTTCTATATTTCTTTGGGTACACATTCCTAGCTTGAGAGGCCTCCAGATATACACACAGGACAGCACTCGCTTTGACTCCAGCTAGGCCTTCTGGGAGTAGATCAGGCAAACCAATTCCAGGGGGGCCAAAGGGTCTTCAGCCCCCTCAATGTCTGCGCTGGTGCATCACTCTGATGATTGCCAGGGCGCCTTTCAGGAAGGTGTGCTGGAAATCGCAAAGGAATGCACCAAAGATTCTCGCAGAGAGGGAGGAGGTGGCCTTGCCATGGCAGCCTCAGCTTTGTGGTGGTGGCAGCAGCAAAGAAAGGGAAGGTGTTGGGTGGCAGGTGGGTGGTGGGCCAAGTTGGCCTGGTTGGGTTGGAGGGTGGGGGGTTGTGGCACGCATGATGTCACACATGGGCGATGCCCCCCCCCCCCAGTGTTGGGTGCAACTCAGTGCCTCTGAACTGGGCACAGTGCCCAAGATATGCAGCTATTCCTGCACCTGCAAACTTCAACACACAATGATGAAACCCACACCTATATTTTTAAAAGCAATATTCTAGTCTTCATAGGGAACCGTTTGGAAATAAGGCGGCAGAATGTAGTAAAATCTTCAAAAACAGCAGGGATATTAGGTGAGACTAGTCAGGGAACTTTATTGCTTTCCTAGCCCACCATCTCCCCTGGATTGAAGTACATTCTAGCATAGGTTGTTCCTGGCACACGGGGGCTCATGTTGTACAGTGAAATTCTGTCTGATCCATTGAGCTGCTAAGGCAAACAAGGAAACCTTATATGTAGTGTATTCATCCCCATCCACCAACAAATAACAGATTTTCTTCCTATTATTCAAAAAGTAAATTCTCTAGAGGATTCCTTTGAGAACCCGTCCCTAGGAGAATTATACAAGGAACAATGCAGAGTATTACAATATTTTCCACCTCTCCCTCATTGCAGATACACAAACAATGATTTGCAGGTATTCTGGCATATCTTGCATCCAAATATACCATGGCCAGTGTTTGAAAGGTGGAATACAAAGGTGTAAATGCCCCCTCCAATGCATTAACTCTTAAATAAATAAAAATCTGGAAGACCAGAATCACAGAATAATAAAATGGTGAGAATTGCATAGTTTGGGCATGACCTCAAATCAAGGCCCACTCCCTTGATTTTTTAATACACTGCTTTGCAGCTATAGGGGCAGCAGTCTTAAGGGCATCAACTCCCAGTTCATACTTGATTATTCCTGGAATTTACTTACAAAACTCTTCCAAGATCAGATTCATGTGCTTTTCTGTATAGCAGTCAGAAAAAAAACTGCACAGGGTGTAAAACTTTTTTTGGTTACAAAATGGTAAAAAGCTCTTAAACTACTGGTAAAGGAAAACATTTGCTCTTGTCTGAAACAACAGAGGCTGTTTAAAGCCATGCAGCTGGAGGGAGCAACACGCTTTTCTTTTCTACCTTGAAAAACTTCATAACACTTAACTGCTCACTCCTTGCTTCTTTCTTCTTCCCATAAATATTTGCCTGCTTTGTTCTTCTGCTTCTTTTAAAAAAAGAAACATCAGCACATTGCAGTGGTGTGCTGTCTCCCTTTCTGTCCTTTTTCACTCCTGCCAGAAGGGGGCCACCGGTTCTTAAGCTGTGTACACATTGCCTGCTTAAAACACAGCCAGGTCTGCACTTGCTTAGAGCTATAACCCCCGAACCGAATTCAGCTCCTCACCAGCAATATCAGACCACGGGGGCTGCAAGAACCAGACCCAGATGCCAGCTTCTTCCCCTTTCCTACTCTGAACACACTGTTGCTGGAACAAATAACATCAGACACAATATCAGGAGCTCACTCACTTACTTTTGTTCTTTAACTTTAACTGACTCAAGAAAATCACCATTTTATAGTTCAAATCGGCGGAAATAAATACAGTTAATGGACAAAAGTACAAATATTCACAAAATATTTAGGGGTATCATAGCTCTGCATCCCCCCAGAAAAAAAGCACTGGTTGCAAATATGGCATATGCCCTCATCTGTTAGCTATGCTCTTCTGCATATAGGACAGATAGGCGAGGCTCTACCAGTGCTGTGCTGAAAATTTTGTTGGGGAGTGATGGGCCACCAGGGACTTCCTGGTCTTTTGCTGACACCTTATCCTTCCAGTAGCTCCCAGTCCACACCACCAGCCAATGACTCTTGGGGAGACCAGAACTGGATACTGCCTGGAGGCACCACCTGTGCTAGAAAGGGCAGGGCAGGGCAGGGCAGGGCACACTTATTCATCTGCCAAATGGGTGGGGAGGAGCCTGGCTGCAGGGCCTCTGGCAGAACGAAGGGCAGAGAAGTCTGACTGATAGAAAATGCCTCAGAGGGAGAGAGATGGCAGGTGGTGGAGGCACAGGAAAGAGACTGAAACAGCTAGGACTCTAAGTGAATTACCTGCCAAAGGCTGTCTTATGGCCCTCCCCCTAAGCCCCACTGAGCAGAGCTAGAGAGGAACGATTCTAGCTTCACCCAGTCCCTTTTCTCCACAGGCAGGCATAAGAGTCCTGGACTTAAGCACCAAAGCCAGGCACCCCAGGAGAGGAGGCCTACTGAAGGGCCTTCCTTATCGGCGAGAGCAACCTGTGCCATGGGTGGAAACAGACCTGGGAAACAACATACCTGAAATAAAGCAATACTTGTAACAGACCAAATGAGGACCAATGCTTTGTTTCTTTAAGCCTCTTAGTCCTGCATGGGCCCATGGAAGAGGTGGAGCGCTCCTCTTTTGAGGCACCCCTTCCCTTGGGGTACAGCACAGTGTGTTTTACCATTCTTCTTCAATCAATGAGAAGAGGAATTGTATTCAGAAATTCAAACATCAATATATTGGGATATAAAATATAAAAGGGAAACATCAATATATTTCTCATAGGTGGGGTGAGTGTTCTTTACTGAGCTTATCTTGTTCTTGAGATGGCCAATGGATTTTGTGAGGATACAGACTTTTAGCCAGTAGTCTGCATTTACAGTCTTCCTGGGTGTCTGCACTTTCTAAAAACACAAAGATTTTATTGGCTGGGCTTTCCTGTAAGAATGGGAAGGCAGAGAGGATTTCCACATTCTGCAGTGCCAGATTTAGGATAGTGCAGGCAGCCCCCCCCCCACAGGGCACCAAGTTGAGGGGACGCAAAATTGAGAAGATCCATTTGGGGGCACCAATTGTTGGCCTTGCACAGGGAGCCATATTAACAAAGGGTTACCAACACCCACCCCTCCTATCTGCCGGACAATTGCTCATCCTTACTTTTCAAAATGAAGTGTTTTCTGTTTTAAAGAAATAAACTCTCTCACGCACAACAGCAAGCGCACCAGCCTCAGTTGCCTGACAGCTAGCATTCCCTGGCTTTCCATATTTTCAATTAAAGTTCAGAGGAAGACATCACTAGGTGAGCGCAGGCTGCAGAATCCCAGAGTATTGTATAAATACGCACTGCCCTTGTCCACCTAGCAATGATAGGTAAACTCAACCCAGCACTTGCCAAACTATTAAATAAATTCTAAAGTGGGGGGTGGGACAGGTTTTAGTATTAGTATTAGTCTCTGCACAAACTAATAAATGGACACAGATCTTCAGAAATGACAAGACTGAAACCTCAATAAACCAATAAAACTCTAAGAGAACACCCCCACACACACACCTGCAACTGCAATGGTATGTTGGTTGAGCTAACATAATATTCTGTACCTGTTTGAGATATTGAGATATTAACTAAACTGCTGAGTGAAAGTATTCAACAGGTGTGGCTTCCTCCTTCCCCGCCCCCAATGCATGATGAAAGAATGGGAGAGAAGCTGTTCCGGTGTAGTTGCTGCCTGGGGTGTGTTGCACAGGTGGAAATGCAGGAATTTAACCCCCGCTGTGCTGCTCATCTGGAAGTCCCTGCACTAGGCACCTCTGGCGCTGCATTTCTCAGTCCAAAGGTTAATTATAAGAATCTTCAACCTTGGTATGGTTCAGAAAAGAGTAGGATTTATATTCCTCTACCACACTGCCCTTTCTTACAGGGATCTTGCTGGTGTAGCTGATCACTCTCCCCAGCCAAGTGCTAAGAAGGATCCTCTTCAGCTTTCAGCACCTCCTCTTCCCAGTCTTCTCCCTCTGATCACTCATCATCACCACCAATCCTGGAGCTCTGAGACTTCTTCCCTTGGGGGTTCCCCTCCCACCATTCCTCTGCATCCAGCCCGTCTGTGACACAACTACTAGTCTGCCTGGCGCCTTCATTATACACCTTTAGGCGCCAGGCAAAAATGTTCCTTTTTAGCCAGACCTTTGGTTGATTGCATTGACATCCTATGCCCTTTTAAAATGTGGTGGCATTTTTTTGGGGGGAGGGTATTGCTACTTTTATTTTATGCATTTTGTGGTTTTATATTCTGATTTTATTCTGTGAACCGCTCTGAGACCTGTGGATATAGGACGGTATGTAATTCAATCAATCAGTCAATCAATCAAATATTGAGAACTACAATTATATTTTTTAAAAGATGGCAGCGTTCCAAAAGCCACAATTAGCTGACCTTAAAGTACCCACCCATGAGCAAAGAAACTTCAGAGCGACTGCAATAAGAAATTGCAGTTCCTTCCGAGTTCCACGCTGCCACCTGGGAGCTGAATCAGGCCCAGTTTTCGGTCCCCTTTCCCCCCCGCCCTCGCGCTTCTCCGCGCCCCGCTGTCCCGGGACCCCGTCTCTCTCTGGCGCTGAGCCCGCGCGGCGCCGCTCGGCCCGTGGGAAGCGGCGGCGGGAGGAGCCCGGGGCCGCCCCGGGGTGGCGCCTCCCCTCCAAGCCGAGCGCCCTTCCTGGTCGGCGGGGCGGGGCGGGGCGGGCCGGGCTGCGTCTGGCGTTGGCGGAGGTTCCGCCGGCCGCCTCTCTCGGCGCGCCATGGCTCTGGAGCGCTGGGCAGAGGCGCTGTCCTTCGGCGCCTTCCAAAGGGGGCTCCCGCGGGGAGCTGCCTACGGCTACGGCGGGGAGAGCCCCGAGGGGCTGCGCCGGAGGGAGCTCGCCCGCCTGGCAGGTAAGCCCAGTCCCGCGCTCGGGACCCCCAGCCTCGCCCGGCCCCGCAAGCCGCCCTTTCCCTCGAGGGTGGCGGGGAGACTGTCCCGGGCAACTTTCTCCGCCGGCTCCCGGACAGGCAGGCGGGGTTGCGGGGTTGCAAGCTGCTCGCTCCGCGCCGGACCCCCAAGGGCTGCCTGGGTGCTCAGGTGCTGCTTCGCTCCGTCTCCTTCTCCCTCGGGTGCTTTGGGCGCCCCAGTTGCCGGAGAGGAAGGGGCGCCTCGCGGGGACCCGGGGAAGTTTGGCCCCTGCGATCCAGTTAAGGAACAAGACCCTGGCGGCGACTCCCTCCCAGGCTTACTGGGGAGTCAACAACAAGGGCATACATAGCATATGTGACAGCGGGGAAGTAATTTGTCCTGCTCTCAAATATCCAAGCGGCCGGGTAGTTTTCTCTCTTAAGCGTTAAACAAAAGTGGTGTTTAAAGTACACAAGCAATTGTAGATTTGTACTGAAAGATTTGTGTCCGTGGTTACGTGGTGTATGGTGTCTGCCCTAGAAAGATTCTTTTTGGTCACTGTTTTAGTAATGTTGTAACCAAAGTTGCCTTTACAGCTTTTCACATGTTATATAGCCTTTTTGAAAAAACAACCAGCTCATACTATCTATCTATCTATCTATCTATCTATCTATCTATCTATCTAAATGCATAGATAAACTATTCAATATTTTAAAAAACCTTTTAAATGGTATCTCTAATTGACAGAATCTCTTCCCACACCCCTCAAAAATGTTCATTTACAGAAGCAATCCAGATGCTAAAGTATATATTATAAAGTACTCCCCATCAGTATTTATTTCTAACCAGGAGCACCAGCAAGACTTTCTGAGCCCAGTTCGTTGCCCGTGGATTGGGCCCTCTGCTGCACTCCTAAGCAAAAAACAACCAGAATCTGCATAATACAAATCTGTTATATTGTATTATACGTGTAATATAATGTCAACCAGGCAGAATACCAACAGGTGAAGCTTTCCCCATAACTGCAGTTCCATACTAGAAAAGATTTACCCTGTATAATTTCTGCATCCTACATAACTTTTAAAGGTGATGAGAGTCCTGCTGTACTTCAATGTCAACTTTAAAGCATGCAAAAGAGTTCAAGTTTCCTAAGTTGTACATGAGCTATGCTGCAGTCTGCAGGTCTTTCTTCAGCAGACCAGATATTGCACTTCCAATGAATGGGGGTCAGAAGTGATTTAAGCTTTATAGAAGTTCTGTTCAGATGCACATGCTTTGCATAAATCAAAATTCAGTGTTAAAAGATGAGCCGCATATTCATTTGTTATGAGTACTCAAATTTCTATACTGCTCTTCCTCCGATGATCACAGGGCAGTTTGCAATATAAAAACACAAAAATACATACCATAATGACAAATAAAACAATACCCCCCAACCAAGTTTAAAAGGCCATAGATGGTTTAATTAGCAAAGGCTTGGGAAAAGAAAAATGTTTTCACCTGGTGCCAAATATATGTAATGAAAGTGTAAGGCAAGACTCCTTGTAAGGCAAGACTCCACAAACAGGGAGCCAGCACAGAAAAGGCCCTCTTGTGTTGTTTTCCTCTAGACTTCATGGAGCAGGCACATGAAGAAGGGCCTCAGATGGGCCGGTCTTGAGGTATTGCGGTCTTCAGCCGTAATATATCATAATAATGGCAGCATTTATTCTTCATTTTTGTGAAGGATTTGAAATCCCAGCCCAAGAAGCTCACTGGGTGACCTTGCACAAGTTGCTGTCTAACCCACCTCACAGGGTTGTGAGGATAAAAGGAAAAGGGGGACAAGCTGGGGAAACAGCCAGATGGGCAGGTTATAAATAATAAATTATTATAATATTATTATTTAGAGGGGGAAAGTGGGATATAAATGCAACAATAGCTTCCATAAATACTCATTTTGGGTTTTTATGCTAGTAGTAGCAAACTACCTGTGAGGACCCCCTCCCTGACTCATTGGGCATAGCCTGCTATGGGCATTCAGAAGATCCCATGTGAGAAGATCCCAGATTCCATCCCCTGAGAGGGCTTGGAATGGTTCTGTTTGAAATCCCAGAGAGTATAATGATCAGGTAGCATGCATGCTTGTTCAGGAAATAATTCCGTTTATTTATTTCCCAACCCACCTCCCAAAGGAGTCCGGAGTGGCAGTGAATGAGGAAGATGAAAATCACCCATGTACTATGCATAGTCTGCGTTACATCTCTGTGCATAAAGCACACCTCTCTCTAGAACTTCTGCAGAATACAGGACCACCCTCCACATATAAGCCACCTTTAAGAACACACAAAGAGCACGTAGGCCTATACTTGTGGGTACAGTGGTTAAGAACTTAATTTGTTCTGTAAGTCCGTTCTTAACCTGAAACTGTTCTAAACCTGAGGTACCACTTTAGCTAATGGGGCCTCCCACTGCTGCCTCTGCGCCATTTCTGTTCTCATCCTGAAGCAAAGTTCTTAACCCGAGGTACTATTTCTGGGTTAGCGGAGTCTGTAACCTGAAGCGTCTGTAACCCGACGTACCACCGTATAGGGCAGTATACAAATTTAATAAATAAAATAATAATAATAATAATTAATGCCCTGTCAAATCTAGCAACTTTTTTCTCACAATGGCCAACCAGATGGGAGGCGCGCAAGGAAGACTTGAGTGCAAGAGCAGCCTTCATAATGGCGGGCGTTTCAATAGTATTTCATAATGACTCCCCACACCCTTAAAGCTGAGGAATAAAATCATATGAGCTACATTATCATTCAAAAAGAAGGCTGGTTTTCATTAAAATAAAATGTGGCTGATGTGCTTCAGGCGTGTTCTGAGTTGACAAGTCTGCACCATGTTACAATTGTAAGAACTCTGCTTGATGCGATTAATTTATTAGATATGCTCAGAAACAAATTTAATGCCTCAAGGTGGCATCTACCCATAAAGCTTCTCCCTTAAAGGGAGGACATTCTGTTGTGTTTTGCAGTCTGGCTAGGCAATGTCCTTAATTGCATTTATCAGATGAGTAAAAGAAGAGGCAAGACCATCTCTTAGAAGGGACCCATTTCTTTGGGATGAGTAGTTATTTCCCTGTGCCAAGGATACTCCTCGGGTGGTTGTGGGTGTGAGTGTCTAGGAAATATGGTTGTGGGTGATTTAACAAGGTAGCACATAGCCATTGATCACCGTATACTCCATGAATTTGTCTAATCTTTTGAAGCCACCCAGTCAGTGGCCATCGCTAACTCTTGGTTGCATATTCCATAGTTTAGCTATGTGCTGTGTGAAGAATGTACTTTCTTTCATTTATCCGGAATCTTCCAACATTCAGATTTGTTGGATGGCCCTAAAAGGAGAAAACGTTTTCTTTATCCGCTTTTTACACACCATGCATAAATTTATACATCTCTTTCATGTTCCCCTCACCTTACTTGCTTTTTCACTAAATGAAAAGACCCTAAACGTTCGTACTGGAAGCAGTATGCCACTGAATATGAGTTGCTTGGAAATGCAGGAGTTGAAGGAATGCTGTTGTTCTCAAGGGCTGCTTGTGGGTCGGCCACTGTAGGAAGAGTGTTAGATTAACTAGACCAGGGGTCAGCAACCTTTTTCAGCTGTGGGCCGGTCTACTGTCCCTCAGACCATGTGGTGGGCCGGACTATATTTTGAAAGAAAAAAAACACGAACAAATTCCTATGCCCCACAAATAACCCAGAGATGCATTTTAAATAAAAGGACACACTCTACTCATGTAAAAACACGCTGATTCCTGGACCGTCCGTGGGCCGGACTGAGAAGGCGATTGGGCCGCATCCGGCCCCCGGGCCTTAGGTTGCCTACCCCTGGACTAGATGGACTTTTGGCCTTATCCAACAGGGCTCATCTTATGTCCTTATGTGTTCTTGGGATGTTGGGAGTTGTGATCCAATATATGGATACCCACATGCACTAAACTAGCCTCTGCCAACCTCATCCCCCCCCCACCCCCTAATCTTTCGGACTGGTCAGCCTTCCTATACTGGCTGGGGCTAATGGCAGTCATGTTACACAGTATCTGGAGGGCAACAGGTTGGCCAACGCTGCCCTAAACCAAAGGTGTGGACTTGCAGTGCTCTGTCCTCTTCTGCAAAGCTTCATTCTTTATTTCCTATAAGCATCATTTATTGTGATGTCCTTGTTGGCACCCTATGGTTAATGCTTGTCTTCTAAACCAGAATCAGAAACCATTCCAAACCCTGAATCACCAGCCATAGTTTTTTGAGTGGGACATCTCAGTATACCGGTAATTAATTCTGGACAGAAATGCAGGAGAAGCAAAGAGGAGGCTGGGGGAAGAGGGAGTGTGCAAGTTTGTGTTTCATTCATGCTTCCCAAACCACCTGCCTTCATTGTCTGAGGTTTGATTGAATTGAACATAAGAGTCTTGTGATATCCTAAAGACTAAAATATATACGATGGAACACATTTTTATGCTTTTGTTAATCAAGAGTCAGCAAGTAAAGCGACTCCCTTGATAAATTAGTTGATGCAGTACAGTATTAGCTGCTGAATCTACATTGACCCAGCAGCTTGCAGCAGGAGAATGCAAATAGGTGAAACTGTGAAGAACTTATTCATGCCTGAAGCTAGAACAGAAGCTATTTTTCTAGAAAAAGGGGTGCCAGAACTCACTATGAACACCTCCCTTGTTCTCTTATAATTGCAATGGTGCCCACCTGAGAGGTGCCAGAATCAGCAGTGGCGCCTGCCCTGTGGAACGCCCTCCCATCAGATGTCAAGGAAATAAACAACTATCTGATCACAAGGACAGGCAGCCCTGTTTAGGGAAGCTTTTAATGTCTGATGTTTGTCACATTATCATTATCAATATCATTATCATTATCATTATTATCATTATCATCGATTCTGTTGGGAGCCACTCAGAGTGGCTGGGGAAACCCAGGCAGATGGGTGGGCTATAAATAAATAAATAAATGAATGA